TATTTAAATCATCAACATATATAGCAACTATCTTAAACCCCTTTTGAATTTCTTTATACAAATACATGAATAAATATGGTTATCTTTATAACCTTCTTTCAATAAATATTTATTGAAAAAATTATACTACATGCACACGAGGTTAGTAATAAAGAGTAGATATTAAAAAATAAAGATAAATATGAAAAGTATAGCATAAATAATTAAATTTCTAAAAATTAAAATAATAACACTAATACTAAAATAATTTCAATAGAGATATCTATAATTTTATTAAACTCATTTCTCAAGAATATGTATTATATACTTTAGGCATCTTAAGTCCTCCTAAGATTTTCATATAGATATCATTATCAATTGAATAAATAACCTATGATCACATTCATTAAATGCACGTATATCAATTTTTTCATATATTTTGCCAGGCTAATGAGATAACAAAATATAATTACATCCATTATAGGAGAATATGTCTCCTCATAGTTAATGTCAAGTCTTTGCAAAACATTTTAGGTTAAAAGTCTTGTCTTGTATCTTACAATCTCATCTTCCTTATTTCGTGTTCATATAAATACACATTTGTATTCCATTGGCTTAACATCTTCAATTGTTTTGATTATGCATTCAAAAATTACTCATTTGTAAAAAAAAAATAATAATAATTCTGCCTTGATTACTCTTTTCATTTAGGCCAATCATCTTTGTGTCGACATTCTTCAATAAATTTAGGCTAATGATCCTTATTTTCATTCAAGATATCAATTAAATATTATATGCAAAAATCTTATCAATAAATATTTCTTTTCAGTCCTATTTTCTCCATGTATTGACATAATTTATCCAAGTCTCTTAATTTTTCTCAAGCATTTGGACTTCTTCTAGAAGCCTATTATCATAAATATCTTGGACCGTTTTGTGAATATTTGCATCATTTACAGTTTCATCTTGCCCTTTTCTTTTAAGCATTTTTGTCTTTAAAACTTATCGATGTTCCACGCTTAAGGCATGCTTTAGATTTATTTGTTATAACATTAATAAATTATCCTTCTAGGACATCAATTCTAATAAAAGTATGCTCAACGGAGACATGCATTTTAGTTACTCTTTTAGGATCTAAGAATGCATCTAGTAGTTGGTTTGTAATACCTTGTAAACGAATTATCTTTTGAACCTCTAGTTTAAATTGTTTTGTACCAAGTTGATATAAAGATAGAATACTCCATGTAATCTTTTTTTCTAATATTTTTAACTCGCTTATTTTGCTTATTCTCTCTCCCTAATGTTGGAAAAAACTATTTCATCAAAATGACAATCGATAAATCGAGCTATAAAAATATCTCTTATTCATGATTTAAGATATTTAATTATAAAAAAAAATTCAAATTCAAAATATATTTTCAATCTCCTTTAAATGCTCATTTTAGTTCATTATGGAGTAGCACTACGGATATCTATTGTAATGCCAAAAAAAAAAAAATAAGAAATATTTAGCTTATGACCATAAACCAATTAAAGGAGGGAGAATTTCGATAACTTATGGATCTAATACGAATAAATATTGTTGCATGTGAGATTGCATGTCTCTAAATATAAACAAGAAGTTTTGTTTTTAAATAATGATTTAGCTATCAATTAAAGCCTTTTGATAAATGATTTTGCTAAACCTTTCGAATATGTACATAAGCAATAAGTTGTTTAACCATAATAATCATGTAATGCTTGAGAAATAAATTCACCAACGTTATTAAGATGAATTGTATTAATGGCATAATCTGAAAATTATGCTTGAAATCAAATTATTTGAGCCATCAACCTCGAAAACGTCGACTTTCGAGTAGATAATAAGCATTTATGTGACCATCTTATGGATGCATTTATTAAAATTATAAAATATCTAAATGATCCACACAGTGGATGAATTGGTCCACATAAATAATGACCTTGAATACATTCTAAAAATACTAGAGATTCAATCTTAACTTTACTTCATGATGACCTAATCATCAGTTTACCTTGAAAACATGCGGAACATTAAAGTTCATTATATTGAAGAATCTTCAAGCTCTTCAATAGATGTCCATATAAATTTTTAATAATTTTTGACATGATAAAAGAGCTAGTATAACGCAACTAATCATGCCACATAATAAAAGCATTTGAATTAGTAAACTTCGATTTACTACAATATTTGTTTCAATCATTCAAATTTTTGTAATAAAGACTAGAAGAGAAAATGAATAATTTCTCCAATACATATTTTCCGTTTGATGTAATTATAATATTTAAGTATTCAATATTTTTCATATTTTTTGTATTAATATGATGTCCATATAGATAAATGTTTTTGAAACTCAATAAATTTTTATGAGACTTTAGAGAGAATAATGCATCATTTATAGTAAAATTTATCCTTTCGGATAATAACATATTTGCCCCTCCGGAGCTTTTAAATTATATCACTTTATGTAATAATATATTTGCTCTTCTAGAGTTTTTAAAAGTTATCTCTTCACGTAATAATACATTCACTCTTTTAAAGCCTTCAAAATTTGTCTCTTCATGTAATAATATAGTCGTTCTTCTAGAGCTTTCTATTAGATTGATATTATCATATATAAAATTAACATAATATATATATATATATATATTCTTCATAAACATAAATAAATAAATAGTAAAATAAATTTATATCTCTATGCAATAGAAATTATAAAAAAAATATAAAATATCTTATTTATAAATAGAAAAGTTAACGAATAATTAATTTGAATTACCTCCATTTTAATATATAATGTTAGCCTCTATATTTTACTCTTTCTTTTTTCAACGACTCTTTATAAGGCTTAATGAGGTGCTTTGTTATATTACATGTACACGACCAATGTCCATTCATGTCACATCTAGAGCATTCATTTTCGGGATACTAACTTGATCCATTTTTATTTTTTTTATTTTTTTCATAGTTTATCCATTTATGGTGGTGAGATGTATTATTATGGTTATCACAATTATAATGATGATTATTCCAACCACGTCTATGGCTATGACCACATCTTCGTGCATGCCTAAAAGTACGATATGTACACGACCAATGTCCATTCATGCCACATCTATAACATTCATTTGATGTACGACGATTACAAGACTAATGTCCATTCATGCCACATCTATCACATTCATTTTCGACATACTAACTTGATCCATTTTTATTTTTTTCTTTTTTTTCGTAGTTTATCCACTTCGATGGTGAGATATATTATTATGGCCATCACAATTATAATGATAATTATTCGACCACGTCCATGGCTATGATCACATCTTCGTGCATGTCCAAAAGTATTATAAGTTGCCACATTCATTTCAAAGAATGAAGTCGATTCGATTGGATGAGATTTATTTTTTTTCATCAATAACTTGTCAATTTATTTAGCCACGAGCAAGTATGAAATTGATTCAAAATATTTCTTAAATTTTTTTATATGTTATTGCAAGAGAATATTTGAGACATAAAAAGTAAAGAATATTTACTCAAGCATCAAGCACTCATGATCACTAATTCTTGCTCAAAATGTCAAGAACCACAAAACCAAATTTGGTGAGGCTTGATATGATAAAAATTCTATAATGCAAAGTATAATAATAATAATATCAAGAAATAAAAATAAAATTTAGTAATAAAATTTAAACAAGCATGATAATAAAATTTAAACTTTTTAAACAATATATATTAGATCATCGGATTCTATATATTAAATCATTTGTTTCAAATATATATTCTATGTATCATTAGATTTGAAGTACATGAAAACTTAGATACATAACTCTTAATGATCTAAATAATTTAAATTATTTGGTCGAGCACTTGTGTAGGAAAAAATCCAATTGTTGAAACAAATGATTAAGTCTTTGGGTAAATACATATCTCATGGTCTATTATCTCAATTAGTTAGAGCTTTATGCCGATAACGTCTTATGAAATAAATGGTAATAATAGTAGAATTGAAGGATGATAGAAAAATGAATTCATTATAAAATAAAATGAATAAAAGTAATAAAAACTTCAATTTATTCTTTCAATCTTTACAAAATATTTGTACACTAATTAATAAATAATCAAGTATATTTATAGACTTCAAGATTAGGAAGAAAATTGAAAGAGACTATAAATCATTAAAAAATACATAAATAATTGAATAAATTACATCATCCTTTTAATTTTTCATATTAAATGATAAATTGAATCACATAAATAGTAAGAATATTAAATGAACATTTATCATTTTATAACATAATCAATATTAAAAGGAAAATAATAATAATAATGCTAACTAGTAATCATCTATATATATGTGAAAAAAAAAATGCAATTTCAAGTTTTTTTTTGTTTTTAAAGAGCAATTCTATTTTTTTACATTGAATTGGTTAAATATTCAAAAGCTTTTGTTTTTTAATGAAAAATTAAACTCATTAACTAAAAGCCTCCTAGTTCAACTTCCCTGGGGATGGCCTTCTGGGCTTCAGTAAATGCACCTCCGAATACTTCGAACCTGTAATCTCAAATAAACAGACTGAAAGTAGAGCACCAAACAGTATGTTCATGTTGGCCTTGTCTTTGCCCATATTTACCAACTACTGTAGATTGGCTTCAACCACATTGCAAGTATGTTTTAATTTTTATTAAAAAAAAAATATCTAAATACAACTGGAAAATGTTAATAGGATATTTATACTAAGCGTTGCCAAACATGGGTGGCTTAATAATAACTGAAAATAAACCAAACGGATCTTACAAATTGAATAGAGAGCCAAAAAATATATCAGGTCAGATTTCGAAGCAAAGCTCGTCTCCACTGTCAACCCTCTGCGGTTCTGTCCCTGTTGCCAAGGTGAAAGGAACAATATCCGCTAGGAAACTGATGACATGAGCTGTGTCTGGACTGGAAGGACGAGTTCAGTTTTGTATGTATAGTGTCTAAACCTTTCCCCCAGCAGAATCCAGGTTAAATGTCAGTGGCATTATCTTTGAAACATGCTTCTGGTAGCCTAAAGCTTAAGCAAAACATGGCCTGCATGATTGAGCAGAAGTCATAAGAAAAAGATTGCAAAGCACCCGTCTGTACATGAGTAAAAGTCTCCCTCTCTCAGACACAAACTTCTGTTTTAAACTTCAGCCACATGTGAACAATTAATTTCACTGGAGATGGAAAATGGTACCTTATTTGGAGCAACATCCCTAACCCTGTGAAATATTGGCTCTTGTATGCGAGCATTCAAGGCAGACTCTGCTTCCTGCAAAAAGGTTGAATATAAGCACAATTTAGATCAAACTATGGAAGGAATTAAGATGATAAAATGTTAAAATTCAGAACGTAAAGGAAGACAATAAAATATCTCAGCAAATAAATCTTACAGAAACTATCAATTCTTGGGTTTCATTTGCTCGCATGAAGCAATAGGAGTGAATCAAGGGAAGAGGTCCTTTCCAATTCTTCCTCCGAATAAGCCCTTTAAATGCATCTGAGGAAAAAATTATTTAATTTCTTGGTAAACAGGCTATGCAATGAACAGAGATTTAAGCAAAGCGTACAGAGATAACATTGATTAAGAATTATGATGCAAGCTGATATAATTTACTTAAAAAAAAAAAAAAACATGTAACTTTTCTTCAAAAAGGAAATCCCCCTCTCACTAATTGGAAAAAATACTGAAAGCATGGACCTGGAAAAGGGACAATACTATTTTGGAGCCAGAATCGCCAGAATCATATATGCTAGGAAGAAAAAAAAAAAAAAAAGCCAGCCAAATTATTTATTAGCCATCATAACATGTTTAACTATGGAATAGACATCTGGAATCATATTTGAACACTCAGAAACATGGGAAGAGCGAGAAGACTAAAAAATACTACTTATACCAAGAAATTGTAGGGCAGAAGCAGGAAGGTTCATGACTATATGATCAACATGCTCCCAAGGCCTCACATTGGGAAGCTCAAGGGCTCTCATCCTCTTGTTTGTGCCTCCCTTTCTTCTGCATGCATCAGTAATTCCAGCACCTTTGGTGTTTCCATTTTCTGCACAGAAGATGAGCCAGAGTTTAGTCAGACCAGCCAAATGAGTGATGACATTGTTACATGTGCACCTAAGTCCATTATTAAAGATGCTGACATGTTTGCATTAACCCTGAGTTTGGTGCTTATGATACCTTCCAAGCAACAATCTGAAGGTCTTTTAATTGCATCTAAAGTTGGATTTCTATACAAATCTTGTGCAGCCTCTACATTACCTGAAACATTAACAAGTCCTTCCTTTGCTTCAACTGCAAGAGAAAAACAAGTTACTTATGAACTACATGCAAGGACAAACAATAGGAGAAATGAATCAACACACATAATACCTCCCAGTCTTGTTTTTACTTCCCTTGATTCATCATTGTCCTGTATGCTGCAATCCTCACATGTTTTATGCATCGAAACTTTGCAGTCTACATGATTTTCACTAACTGGTGGTTTCATAAGTTGAGAAATAAATTTCCTAGCATCCATATTGTATGCACAAATGCAATCAACCTTGTTGATTTTTGCATTAATCTTCAAATAGCGAATGCTACCTGGATTCAAATCATTGGCATAAACAACGCATCCTTTCTGTGCTGCTGGAATAGCAAAAGGACCAATCCCAGCAAACATGTCACAGATGATCTCTCCTGGTCGAAATTGAGAAACCAACCTTATGTGTTCATGTTCCAGTCTTGAATTCCAGTAAACCAAGCTGTAATCAAGCTTGAACGTTGCCCCATATTGCTTCACTTCTGTGACCATATCACTTTCTCCTGCTAAAATTTCAAATTTTGGCACTCGAAACTCATTTGTAATTGTTCCAACTTTATTAACAACAGTCTTTATCCTGGGATAATTTTTCTGCAAGATAGATAAAATACACACACCAATTGTATTAGATTATTCAGACAAAACTATTAGCTAAAAGAAAAAGGGCATCCAAACAGTAAAGCCAAGGTACCAACAAAAACTAAAATGAGGAAATACCAGATAAGATGCTCAAAGCAAATAGAAAGCAAAAGGTGCATGCTGGACATGGTTATTGAGGAACAAAACAAAACAAAAAATAAAACCTTCTTTAAGAAAAGTAAAGTGAAAAACATTTTAACAAAAAAAAAAATTGAAAAGTATTATGGGAAGAGAAATAGCAACTCATCCCCCCCCCCCCCCCAACAAACAAAAAAAAAAAAAAAAACAGTCCATGGAACACAAAGTTAAAGAAATCAAGTCAAGAAAAACATAGTATGTGTGAAGTGAAAACTTACATCATAAATAACCTTAGCAATAACATCCTTGTACAGAAGCAGTTCATCATGTATATTTAGATGGGCAATGTGACCTGCAGGCATAAGAAGAAATAATAATAAACTCATCCTTAGCGGGGTTCCTCATGTTAACTGTTAACAATCTATCTATCATATGAAACAATCATCTTGGAATAACTACCAACCTTGAGCAGCTAAAAAAGTACATAAACAACTCAAGTATGTTAGACAGCTCAAAAAAAGGAAGGAAGACAATATAAATTGAATACTTAACTATTGTTTCAAAAGAAGAAGGTACCTCCACTCCAGGAGGCAGAATCTGCTTCAATACATGATCTGCAATCAAAGATAAATGGTGGTCAGTAAGTCTTTCCAATTGTCAATAGAAATTAAAACACAACCAAGTGAATCCAAGATCCTCATTAAGACAAAATAACATAGTTTCGAGGCACTGTCTTGATTTATTTGAATAGAAAAAAAAATACAATTGATATTGAGCTTGTTACTAAAGAAGAACCATTCCTTCGACTCTCACTGTAAGTGATGCAGCACTGAGTGTTAGTTTACTAAAAAATTATATTGTAAGGAATGATCAACAATTATGATATGCAGCCTGTTGGGTTTAAAATGTTATGTTGACAAAAGTTGCCATTCAATAATTTGCTGTAGCAAAAACAAGCATACCTCAGTCTGCTTCAGCTTTTTTTTTTTTTTTTTCCATTGCCCTTTTCAGATTGAATTTCTTTAAAGGTTACTCAATTTATCCTACTCCTTCCCTCATAATGAAAGGGAAGAAGTACGATAAATTGAGTAACCTTTAAAGAAATTCAGTAAGAAAAATAAAATAAAATAAATGACAATGGGAAAAAAAAAAAAAACTAATTGAATAACAAGTTCAATCTGAAATAGTAGATGCTTATTAGAAGAGTAATAAGCAAAAGACCTGCACTCCAATAGGGATATCCGAGCGTCAGCGAATAAGGAATTACTATAATCTGGCATAATTTCTTCAGCTCATCAAGCTTCTGAGTTGGTATATCAGATAAATCTGAAGCACATCGATTAAAAGCAAAGCACACTCACAATCTACAAATATATATATATATATATATATATAGAATCAATCAATGAATACAATACCGTGATTTTGAACTCTATCAGACAAAATCATATAACGATTCTTTTGGCAAGTTGGATCTTCAGTTATAGGTTTGATTCTAGGCTTGTCAAGCAAATATCTGAAAATCAAGAAAAAACCAATAATTATTAAAGTTCACAGAAGAAAAAAGAAAAAAGAAAAAAGAAAAAAGAGTAGACCAGAAAAAGGAGTAGTACCCGTTTAAAATGCAAGTGACGGCTTTGCAGAGCTGACGAGGGATTCTGAGTGCCCATAATTTCAAATCAACATCAAACTTGCTTTCATCCAACATTTCTTGACTACACAAAATGTCTTTCTTTTCTTACAGAGAGACAGACAAACAATCAGCTTAACACCAACAAAGAAGAAAGAGAGAAGTGAAAACTGGAAACCGAGAGCCGCTCGACCTTTACTAAGGGTTTTGATCAGGGCTAGATGCTTGGAAACAACGACGTCGTATTTTCCGTAAAAGTTTGGCTTCTATCAATCAGCCCCCTCAATTTTCGTTGTAGTTTCACTTTCAGGTTTTCTTTCTTTTTTTCTTTTTTTCCCCTTTTTTTAAATTTTTTTATTTTATTTTTAATCTTAGTGTTTGATAGGCAATAATTACACTATAACTACATGAATTTTTAACATTTTCTCAATTGAGTATAAAAATTTTAATTTTTTTTAAGTATATCAATATTTTCTAAACCATCAATTAAGTATTTTCATCCAACTTTTGTCAATTATTCATTATTCAATGATATATCATTTGTCTTGAATATTTAATAATTTTGATATTTTATTTTTGAAAAGAATTTTTTGTCACACATTATTTTTTTCATCTTTAATTTTGTGAAAACAAAAACAATTTGAATTTTTACTAAATAAAAAGTAGAATGTGGCAAAATAATTTGGAATGGAAAGTTTTCTCCAACAATAAAAGGATAAAGCATAATTTAGTAGTTTAGAATAAAAGATACGTTATTAAATAACATAATAATTAATAGAAATTAGATGAAAAATATTTAATTGGATGTTTTATAGTTAAACCAAAAAATTAAATATTATATACTCTATCGAGAAAAAGTAAGAAATGAGTGCATTTATAGTTCAATTGTCCCATTTAATGGTTATAAACTAGGTAAAAAAAGGTACCCGTACCAAAAGACTAATTGTTCATTAACATAAGATTAGCATAATTGGGACACATTATGCTATTTATATATCTAGCTCATTACCCATTAAAGTATGCTAATGTATAATTAATGGATTGAGTTGGGCCAATTAACTACTCTGTATCCTATCCACTATCATCCATGTTATAGTAGCAACACAAAAAGGTTAATTAATGTGGAGCCAATGGAATTTCTTTTAAAATGTGCATCTTTAGTTAACCTAAACTAAAAGAAATTTTTTTCTTTTCAATCCTTAAATTTTTTAGAAAAAAGCTTCTACTTAAATTAAAAGATCTAAATGATACCACATACATCATTTATATTTCAAAATATATAACATACAAAACTAAAATTTATCTTCTTTTTTTAGCATGGTTTACAATGAAAAAAAAAAAACATAAAATAATTTGCAAGTTAGAAATAAATAAATTAGAAAGACCATAAAAAGTTAAAACTTCAAAACTAAAAACCTAAGGAAAAAAAAAAAAGGATTTTCTATTGTTATAAAGGTACGAGTCATCTATTGACAAATCAACGAGTATATTCGATAAAATCAATTAACGATGACACTCAAAACATGACGCGAGCTTTACTCATCAAATTAGAAAATTATATATATATAAGAATGTATTACAACCGATTCCCACGTGTACTAGTCGATTAGTTATATTTTAGAAGGGGTAAAAAAAAAGTAAACTCATACTTCTTAATTTCGTAAACACATACTCTCATTATTCATCTTCTTATGTTTAATTTTTATTTTTTTATTTCTTAATGAGTTATATATTTAGTTTTTATGAGATACATTTATAAAGTTATTGTGATTAAATTAATTGAAAAACTATAATGAGCTGTATTTAAAAACGTATTTCTAGTTTTCTATAATAAATAATGCTTGAGCTTTATCAATTTTAATTTTTTTATTTTATTAATGAACTCCATAATTAAATTTTTTTCTTCCCATATAATTTTTAGTTAGATAGAAAGATCAAAAAATATTTTGATATATATCCTACTATATTTTAACAATTTTTATTTATATTTTTAAATATGAATGATGTACGTGACATTATTTGAACTTAAGTAGAAATCAAATTATTTTTAAAAAGTTTCTATTTTGATGACATTTCAAGAGTTAAAGAAGTGAAAATAAAAATTCCATCTATTGATCTGTGATTGAAACTTTACTAAAACTTGGGAAGAGAAATGGATTTACTCCAAACTTCAAGAGGATAAATTGAAATTGATCCTAAACAGTAGTATGTATAAATTTCAATTTCATCTAATATTTAGAAATAAAAAAAATAATGGTTTGGAATTAAGAAAAATAAAAACATATAATCAATGAAAATAAATTCGATAAAATTTGAGTGGGTCAATTTTTTGAAAAACCGTTAATTCTATCAATTTCAATCATTACTCATCAACAACAACATCATCTCGCTTTTTTACTAACACTACAATTAAATGAAAATTAATGTTTAAACGAGCATAAATCTCTTCCTCGATTTTTCTTCCAAAATGTTCACCATAACATAATGGTGAAAGCGAGATTTGAAATTGAGGGGGACAAAATATAATAGTCTTATGCATAAAAAAAAAAAATCCCTAATGCAATACACACCGACATAAATGAAGTAGCTAGATAGTTAAATATTTCAAACAAAAAGTATTTATAAATGTTCTTAGATAAAAAGAAAAGAATTACAATTTTTTTTTACGATTCTTCATGCCTTGGTAGCAACTCATGATAACTTCATTATCTATAGTGTTAAATATATCTTTTTAATATATCCGATCAAACAATCACACATCCATTGATTTCCCATCTTATTACATAACCGATTCTTTACAAATTTCATAGCGAGAAAACACTCTCTCAATTGTGATGATTGCAACATGTAGAACAAGGACTAAAGTGATGAGTCTATAAACCAATGGATACAAAATATCCTTTATTGTCTACATCGTTTTTTTAGCAAGATCACCAATTCCTTTCATGTTAGAAAACTTACAACTAGACTTTATATCAATGATATATGTTTCCAATTGAGTTTCAAAAACAATGATTGGGATAATAGAGAAATCAACGGGATAAAACCGAGTAACACAAAGTAACTTATCTTTATCATAAATGGAGAATGAATTAGTCGGGCTCAAGCATGCAAAACATAAAAGCAACTCTGTGTTCATCTCATCAAATTGATTACTAAGCTCTTCAAGTTGCAAATCTATAACTGCGTAAAATAACTCAATCTTGTAATGATGCATGTTTGTCAATTTCTTAGTATTACATCGAGACCGTCTCCTAGCAATATGTGTATCTTCCATATTAAGGACTTGTATATTGTGGCTAGTATAAAATAAAGATACCTTATCCAATAGCGAATTCCATCCATTATCTCGCATTAATTGCAAGCGTTGCTTAGCTATCTTAACCAAGGTCATAGCATTCATAATATCTTGATCTTTTTTGTTGCAATGCTTGTGATAATTTATGAGTGATTCTTAATATATGTTTCATCAACTAAAGACAAAATGAAATATCAAAATATTACAATGAATCCAATAAAGTGCAAGCTTCAACTTTTTAGTCATACTTTTCATTTTTCATAACGAATTCAAGGACATCAACTATAGAAGAAGACATTTTAATCAAGCTAATCAACATAGTGTAACATGAACCCTATCGTGTCTCGCTAGCCCGTTTAAGAGTAGACTCTTAATTTTTTTCGTTGCTTGCTTTCAAGTTCATCATTTTCAATTACCTTTAAAACTTTAACGACTTGAAACTTTAAAAGTATATCATGGTGCTTACAAGATCCCCCAACAACATTTACAACACTTAACACTAAACTAAAGAGCATGGCAATGACTTGTGATTTTTTGCAACAACTATAAGTGCTAATTAAAGTTGATATGGAAAACAATGAACATAAAAAGCACTTCCATCCTCCTTTAAGATTAAATATTTAAGGCCATTAAACTCACCTTGCATATTGCTTGCCCCATCATAGCCTTGACCACGTAGTCTTGACATGCTTAAGTTGTGCTTGGCAAATATTGCTTCAATTATTGCCTTTAATGACAAAGCATTAGTGTTTCCACATAATACCTAAAATATGTTCAACCACTTTTCCTTCCTTGTTCACATAGAGTATCACAATTGCCATTTGTTCTTTAGTTAACAAATCACGAGCTTTTTCCACTAGAATAGATAATAAAGCATTCACAAACTCTAGAATGATGGAATTGGTGATTTCAATTGCATAAGCACTCATAATATCTTTTTAAATATATGAAGATGTCAATTTAAGATTTCTAGGACATTTATCTATTGTAACTCTTTTGATAATCTCATTATAATCACAGAGAAGTTTTAAAGTTGCCTTGAAATTTCCTTGATTAGTCAAATCATTCAATTCATCATGACCACAAAAAGCTAAACTTTATCTTAAAAGAAATCAAACATAGTCTATTGAAGCATTTAAATGAACCCAATAGTCACTTCAAGCTTATCTTGATTGCTTATTGACAATTATTTACAAATGTTGTTATTGATTCATCAAAGCTTGGCAATTATGGGAAGCCTTGATTGTGTGTACTAGTAGGACCTCCAACATGTGCTTGTAACTTTTCTTTTTTCTTCCACTAGCTAAAACCTTCAACAACAAAGGCATCACCACTAACCCTTGCTCTTTACTATCTAATTTGAAAAGGTAACAATATAAGCAATATGTCGTATCCTTGACCTTACTATATTCTATCCATGTGCAATATTCATCGATCTAAGATGGATTAAATCTTCTTAACACATTTCCTTATAGAGTTTGTTTAAAATTATGTTCACAAGGTTGACAATGTCTTTTGTTGTAGAAATGCTCTTCGAACTTCATCCTTTATGTTAGGATGATAATCCATAATTGGTTTTCACAATGTAGGATTTAATGGAAGATTTGCTTCATTAGAAACTTTTTTCAAATTGTGGCACTCTTCATCATGACTTTCTTGGTTTTGAATAGGTGAAAACGATTTAGACATAGTTTTTCTCTTAAAGTACCTTTTCATAACTAAAAAAGAAAGAAAAAGGTAAGAGAATCAATAATGGTTATCAAATATATATTATATTTGT